GGATGAAAATACAGAACTTTGGAAGGGATTATACTGAATGATGAAAGAAATCAATGGTTACCCTGGAAGTTGCAGGGTAACGGTTACCTCTTTTTGGATGGATAAGTTTGATTTAATTCTTATGGTGGTAATTACTTCTGCAAATCTAATTAGCTTGACATTGTTTTGTTTGTTAATTATTTCAAATTATTTCGAGATTTGGACATCGTGTCCTGTGTTCACCAAGTGTTTAGTAATGGAACTTTTAAGGCATTTTGGTTTCTATAAGCTTAACTTAGTTGGAATGTGTTTATGAAATCTAATCTCAGCCTTCCTCACTGTCCTTCCAATCTACGTTCTCTAACATGTACGTGTGAATTTGTAGATACAAGTTGAGGTGACATGAGGCAGGAACCTGTCGACTTTTCAGTGTTGTAGTGAACAGTTTGTTTTGCATGCGGAAACTAATCTAGCTGCTGGAAAAGTGATTTTTAGTGTAGTTCCTATCCTTCTACTAACCCACTTCATGAGTTCATTCCCCTTGAGAGTCAGATGGAGGAACACAGGTTTCTTCTCGGAATTATCAAGTACCCTTGTTTCTGCTATTCTCATTTTGACTTTATTTATCAGTCTCTTAGGATAGGGTTAGGGTTAGCGTTTTAACTAGTGTTTACTTATAACTTATAGGACAGAAACTTTTGAAATGAAGATATTGTCCACTCTGTGTTTTTCTTCTGTAGACAGTTCTCTGACAAAATCAATCTATTCTTCATCGAAGTCCCAATTCCAAAAAATGAAATTCATCATTTGTCTCGTGTTCCATAATAAACTTAATATTCGTATGTGCCTTATTGGTATATTTTAAGTGTTAACTCATGATTCATGTCACCACCAATTGCATGAATGGTCTGGTAAAAGATATATGATTTGCTTTATTCTTGCTGTAGAGGCTATTGCATATTACGGCAGACGAATTACTCAGCAGTTTTTCAGTATCTTTTCACACATTTTCACTGTGAATATATTCATTTAAAAGCCCTTCCTACTTTAGGTTGTAATACATCATGAACTGAAATCAGTTGGAGACCTAGAAGCACCGGACGGGTGTTTCTCCCCACTAGTATGGGACTCCTCAGCAGTGCGCACTCATCACCCCACCATGTCAGGGATCGAACCCAGGGCCTTCAGGTTCCTTGACCACATGTTACCATTGAGCTAGCCAATAGGTCGGAAACCACTGGTACACATTTCTTACTTCTATCAGCTCACGATCTAGTGCGGCTCACATCCAATGTCGTCCTTGAGTAACTGTTCTCTTGTTCGACTTTGTTGATTCCACTGGTCATGACTTCTCATTGGAACTTCTGGAATTACTTCTCAAAGATAGTCACTAATGAGGGGTAGATTAATTTTATCTGGAGATTTGTGGAGGTTTATTAATTGGTTTTAGGTTGGAATTCATCATAGACTGACATAAGTTGAAGCAACACTGCAAACCTGGGAGGATTGGACAGTTCTTTCGTCGTAGTGTGGGACTCCTCTTTCGTACTTTAGACGAGTCAGTTTATCATAGGATAAAGCAAAGACTAGAGAATATCAAGACTGATTAAGAAGAAAAGATGATTCATTTTGATGTAACAACTAAATAACCCATGACTACGGTCTCAGATGCTGTTAGAAATGAACACCTAAATGATTCTCATCTCACTCATAAAACTAGCGTATAGACGAAAGAAATCACCTTAGGAGTTCAATTATGTTTCACCTCAACAGATTTACAAACTTCATGGCAAATGCATGAACAAACGGAAAGAAAGGCAGCGGGATCATAAGTATCCCCTAATCCTGGCTGATATTTTCATGGGCATCTAGAAATACATGACTCTTCGAACGTATAATCCTACCTCGAAACTATGTTGGAGATATATTTTCATAGATTTGCAGTGTAAAAATCCGACCATATTCATATCTTCTTCACATGCATGATCTCCGTAGTAGATGGGATGAAAGTTACTTTTTATTTAAGTGAACAAGGAAAATTAGATATTTTCGATTGAGAAGTAAAGATGAGGGAAAGATGTAGTTTCAGACAAAAGATATGAAAACTTTAAATCAACTGATCGTCTACCAGGTTTAGTTAGATGCTTCAGTAATCTAGCTAGAAGTTTAACCAGTAAGTCGGGAAATATAAATGAAAACAGACACTTAAGAGAAGTTTTATTTCTTAAGTTGTTCAGAAATTCCTAAGGATGCAAAAAATGAAAAGTTGTGATGCACTCATAGATCGTAACATAATCGAATTCAAGGTCATCACAGTGTTGCTATGTGATGGAAACGATTTCAGATACCTTACGTGGGATTTTACTAACTCTGGCAATTGGATAACATTCAAGTAGACATATAATAATTTGATTGATCAAATACCTTGCAATAGTTATGAGGTCAAGTGCAGAGGTCAGGTTGGGAGGACATTTGAGCCTATCCTGACTAACATGGACAATCAGGTGAAGTATTTATCCTTAGCTGTGCGTGCGATAACACAATCATATAATAAGATGACACAGAGTAACAGTTCTAAAGAATAATGTAGGTAATTTGCGGGAGAAATCGATCACTAAATCTTCGTTCATTGATTCAACGCCTAAAACCTATTCCAAATATGCATGGAAAATTTTATTATTAATCAAATAGAGGGAGAAAGACAGTGGAAGCAGAAAAAACTACGACAGGAAGTAGTACAGTTACCTTGATATAACTATTAGCAATAAATTGTACTAGTGGCATCAACTAGGAAATACTAATATATCACTGTGTTGTATCATATAGACTAATCTCATGTGGTGTAACATTGTGTTACAATAAAAAAGTTCATATTCTGATTTAACATTATCAAATCAAAAGCAGATTTGGATTACTCAAGATAAACGAATGTGAAACGTTAATAAAATTAAAAAGTGAGTAGTCTAACGTATGTAGGGGCTTCTCTATATTATATTTGTTTAAAATGCACCAATTATCATGCTGTATTGTATGTATGCTCAGTAAATGCCATCTACAACCAGAATAAAAACAGGCTGAATTTTATCATTTTGTGATAGTAGTGCTTTTTTCTAACTGGTGGTCTTCAGATGAAGCTGTATAATAACATCTTGCATGAATTGTTAACCAGTCAATAAAGTTAAAGTTGACATGATACCACATCGATGTAGATTCACCCATTTAGGTACTTGATAGGAAGTCATATTGCTTCTTTCAATGTCCTTTGTAGAGCCAAAGGGAATAGTTCAAAAGAGGTACGCCTTCGACAGTTGTACACAGCAGAAGCATTAGAAATTCATCAATTCAAACCTGATCTCTGTGTGTAGAAGGAGTATGTTCAGTTGCTTATCTTACCATGGTGTTAACACTTCTATGATTCTTTTCGATTTCATTATAATTAGTTAGTTTATTGCTATCACCTTCATTATGACCATCGTCTCATTATTCACCTTCTTAACAGCTATCTATCAAGTAGATATTCAACCACTTGGCATTTCTCATCTACCAACAATTTTCACCTTGTCAAACTGATTGCTATCCTGGTTCCTATCTAAGAGATTACTTCACAACTACTTTGCAATCTCGATTCTGATTTTTTAGCACTGGGTTAATGATGTAATTATACACTATTGTTTACTAATAGACTGTTATGTGTTTATGATATATATAAATACTATTGTATAGCTTTAGGGAGTGATATCGTCGAAAAAGATTTTCTTCCGTGAATTCTCTCTTCTTTTCTCTAATGGTTTTACATATTGATGAAAACTGTAAATAAATGATGTATATTTTTGTCAAATAAACAGTTTTTCTCAAAGTCACTGGGTGGTCTTTGTCATTTGATTTTTACGGTCCAGTGAAGTATACGGTTCAGAGAGAGAACAGTTACTATTTGTATCCAGTTCAAGTATTTCACTACGTTAGCAGCGTTCTCGTACTTTGTATCACTTTGTCAGTTACTTCAGCACTGTTTTCCATACTTTGGGGAAAAAAATTAGCGAACAGTTGTGATTGTGTTGTTTTGAACCATATGGATGCTTGGCATAATCTGCTAAAATAACAAACTGGAGCCCAGTACACTAAGGGAGATTCAAATTATGCACAGTGTTGGTGTAGATGACTGTTTGCGATACCTTCCCTACAGAAGAACTATAGATTTTATCCTTTTTTCTCTTAAATCATAATAAAAATGAATTAAACAAAATGTCCTAATTTTCAGGTTTACGGGTTTATGTAAAGGATTCGTTGAAAACCCTGATTCTCTTTGTAAATACATTCTCCGTTCCTTACTTTAGTCGTCTTTTCTAATTAGCTTATGCTAAAAGCAACAGGGTAATTCAACGAGTGAGAAGATTAAAACAATCTTGAAGAGAGTTGGGTGTAATTTTATTTAGTTTTAACTCTATATTGTTATCTGCTTGATGCCTAGCAATGAAATCCAGGAGGCTCGTTTTGTCCAATTTAGGGCTTGTCAGATAGATGTACCACCATCTCATTGAGCTACTTTGCTCCCACGAGAAGTGTTTGTTGTGCTTAAATGGCCTGGTGGATAGCACTTTGGCATTTAAAACGATGGGTAAAATGTTCGAATCCTATTGGAGACCGCATCATTCACTGAGGTGCAGGTATATCCATCTGAAGGGTATCAAATAGGGGAAAACGCTCATCGTGGATTCCACTGTTAACCACCAAGTGGACTACAATATTATGGATATTTGAATAGAATACAGGCATCCACAGGGATCACCATCTCCTAACAGCTGTAGAACGATTCAACTCAGTATTGCAATGGGAAATTACAAGTATCAGTAAAGAAGTTTTAACCTTACCTGATTTAAGATGAAATGTTTTATTACTTCTAGATAATAATGAAAATATTTTACCTGAGCTAGAAATATTGATTCCATACACAAAATAATCAAGTGAAAGAAATACAATTCAGCATGTTATTGAAAACTGATAGAGTGATTCAGAACGCTTACGTGCATCTCTTAATTCCATATACTGAATTCTTTTGCTGGAGTAACATTTTCTGGATTAATGAACTTTTTGAATGGTAAACCTAAAAAAAAGTAAAGAGCAAACAAGTTTATCTAATATCGGTCAACATACTAAAGGAAGTAGAATGAGATGGTGTATCCATGCATTCAGGCATGAGATAATATAATGACTAAGAAAACTAAGAATGAAACGTTCTATTATCCATCGTTTTACTTGGTAAACGTTTCACTATCATGCTACTTATAGTCATCATTGTTTGAGTTCAGTTTCAAACAAAGCTGTACGTTATGAATATTCATGCATGTTCAGATGATTTATCTTCCGCATGCGGCACTGACACTGTGACTATAATATCTTGCATGACACTGAAATGTTCGCCAATTAAAGCCACGAATCACATACTAACTCACTGTAGATATTCCCACCTTGAACGACAAATATTCATCGATTCACGTAAGCATTCAGGTCTCCAGTAATAAATATTTGATTTGAAAGAAAAGTGGTCAGCTTACCTGAAGTATTGTCTAGCTACTAGTTAAGTTCAGGTGATACAGAAAAGAGATTACTTAATTACAGTTTTTATTTTATATTTAGACTTTTGTTCTCTCTATTTATGAATAATTTATTGACAGTTCAAACAGAAGGGTTTCTAGGGGAAGTAAATTGGATTTCTTGAAAAGAATATCATATATGCTGGCAAAATTATTAGTAGTAATAATGTTATAAGAAGTAAGACAAGAATAGTAATTATTGGTTGTTACAAAAGCAAGAGAAATGAATATCTGTGATAACAACAAAACAGCATTCCTAGTCAGCCACACTGGGAGCACTAATCGATGAATGAATTAACAATATATACCTACCTGGTTTACTTATCAATTTACTTACCTAATGCCTGATAATGTATCGATTTATCAGGTATTTCCACCACTTAGAGAACTATTGAAGGTGATTTGGAAGTAAGCATACATATTATTATTACTATTATTATTAGTCCCTTGGGTTCCTAGTGGAACATAGGGCTTCAGTAGCACGTCTCCAGTGAACTCTGTTCTCTGAGATCTTTTGAACCTGGTTCCACGACAGCCCACAAGCTCTCATTTCCTCCTCGCACGACCTCCTCCATGTCACCCTCACCACGGACGTCCAACTCGTCGCTTCCCATGGGGATTCCACTCGAGCAACTGGCCTGACGTGTGATGTCCTCAGTCGGCCTTCTCAGTGCATGGCCAATCCATCTCCACTTCCTCCTGCATATTTGTTGCGTGATAGGTTCTTGGTTGGTTCGTTCCCAGAGTTTCTTGTTGCTTATTCTTTCTGACCATCTCCACTGATCTTCAGTAGCGAGCGTAAGCAGTTGTTGATGAATGTCTGTAGTTTATTGGAAATGCCTTTCGTGACGCGCCAAGTCTCTCAACCATACAGGAGCACTGACTTGACGTTGGTGTTGAAAATCCGTATCTTGTTCCACATGCTGAGTGGAGTGCAGAAGATCTCCACACTGGTTTCAGGCTAATGAACGCCTGTCTTGCTTTTCCGATTCTGACTTTGACGTCCTCGTCTGTCCCGCCTGTAGTTGAAACAGTGCTTCCTAGATAAGTGAAGGAGGTTACTTCCTTTAAGTTTCTCCCGTTGACGGTGATTGGAGTTTGTTGTTGTTGTTGATGGTGGTGGTGCGGTATCTTCATCACTTCTGTCTTCTCTATATTCACTTGAAGTCCCGTCTTCGCTGCCCTGCCTCTTCTGCCAACTTCTTAGTTTTTGCCTGCAGATCTTCAAGTTTATGTGACGTCAGGCACAAGTCATTGGCGAAATCCAAGTCTTCTAGGTTCTTTTCCGCAGTCCAGTGTATTCCCCTCTTCTCGCTGCCCACTGTTTGCTGCATGATCCGGTCGAGTCGACCACAATCAGGAATATCATGGGGGATAGTAGGCAACCTTGTTTCACTCCTGTCTTCACTTCAAAAGCATCACTGGGCTGAGCTTTCCATTGTGAATTACTTGGTATGTGGCATGCGTCTCCATATAGTTGCTGAATGAGGCGGAAGCATAGATAGATCTATTGATTTATAAACATCTTTCACTGAAGTTAGTGTCATTTAAACCAAATTTCGAGGTTGAAGTTAGATTTCATATACTGATTGGTCACTGAATAGCAATGGGTTTTATATTATTTAATCCTGTGGGTTAACCTTGTTCCATTAAATCATTTTAGCATCACAATCCTCAGTAATCCCATTGGGTGAACACTGAGGACTATACAGCATGAAATTGGTTGCTCTTCAGTGACCAACCAGCATATTTAATCTGGTTCTTAAGAAGGCTAGTTAGGGTTCAAATGGCTCAATGGTAGCCTGTTTGACTGCAATATTCGGTAATGCAGAAGATTAAACCTCTAAGAAGATATTATTTCTGTTTAGGTAACAGATACGCAAATAAGTTGGACTTACTACCAATTGCGTCTAACCATCTAAAATCAGTTGTCTTCCATGGATAATCCCGTTACACTGATGTTAACTGGTAGTATACTTTTTTCGTAGAAGTATTCATTAAAAGTCTGGTGACTAGTGGAAATGAATCCTCAATTTATACGAATACCTAATTTAATTAACTTTTAGGAGTAAAGTCCCATCTATCCTGTCCTGTCCCTTCTATCAACTTGTTGGTTTTTGCCTGTAGATCTTCCAGTTTGTGCAACACAAGACACATAAGTCATCGGCGAAATCCAGCGTATCGCTCTCTTCACGCTCCTCACTGTTTGTTGCATGATCCAGTCCACCACAATCAGGATCTAGAAATGTTTAAATCATTGACCATAGATTATTCTATTGCTCTTTATTTTCGTAGTCTTTTCCTATCATTATTAATCTAACTAACATTGAACTATGCCAATAAAACTAATCAGTCCAATATACGGTCAACGAAATAACTATATAGAGTCAATTGTTTTGATTATTTATGAGTTCTGGATGATGTATATTGTTGGTCAAGCGTAAAGATGCAGTATAATAGATCTTTTAAATTTTTTATGTGATGTTTCCATGATTTATTTACATTGATCTCTAGGCATACATTTTAGAAAGAATATTCAGTTACTATTATTCCTTACTTTCAACACAGATGATGGACAAACTTGTGAACAATAGTGGAAAGTGTAGTAATTATGAATAAACTTTGTAGCAACTCAACAAGTCATTCGCTGTCTATATGAATTTCGCTTGATATTGTAGAAAAATAGATTACAGACTGTGGGAAGCTAAGTACTTTGAACAGATAGTTATTAATTTTGGATGCATAATGACTTAAGTATTGCATGATTGTATAACTTCCAGGAAGACAAGAAGTTAATGAATGTTCAGCTTGTCAACATATTTAAAGTATTAGAGTAGTTTTTATTGTTAATCAATGACTGGAAATCAGGAAACAGGAAACTTCCTTCGGGTTTCTGTTGGAACTTTTTTTATTGTTATCGAAAACAATGTTATAGTCAATGTATGTATTCATGAGTCTCCTAGCACATAACTGGAATTTAATAAGTGTAAAACTTGGACACTATGGTAGAATGTTATTCCACATTAGATTTCTTTATTTGATATATAGGGCACAGTGATAAAGTATGATTTACTTGATGACGACGTTCCCAGAATAAATTATTACTTCTCATAATCATATCAGTGTGATCATACTCATTTTGACATCTGGTCTTTATAGTTCCGTCATCTCATATGATTTGTTTTTATTGGTAGTAAAATTTTTCATATCTCTGTTATACGCGTTGCATCATACCTATTACATGTGTTGAGTGGGTGTTGATTTGATGAACAAAGATTCAGTAATCAACTTCTCTCTCTCTCTCTCCGCCTTAGTATATTGGACTGAAGTACAGTGGTTTTATCCTACCCTAATGTGTGGTTGTGTGTTCATGAGTGGATTGTAATAACCGAGTATTTTTCTAGATGATTGATCTTATTGGGGTCTGTCATTCTATATTTAGATAAATTCTTATGTTCCGCTAGTCTAAGTGACCCTGATCGGCTAGTTTGACCTATGTACTTGATCTCACTCACAGTTATTACATAGAATTTGATAAATGAGACTATTTTTCCCAATTGAATCTATCGGATCCTTAATATAGCTGACAGTGCTTATCTCTAAATGAGTTTGTAGATTTAAATGCCACCTTAATCCCAATCTTGTTGAGAATCCTGTGTGAAGTTTCTGGCTTACCTTCCTTATAAATGGGAACACAACAGAGGCTGTTAAACTGTTTCTACCCCTGTTGCCGCTGTTATTCGTATTCATACTACGGTTATTACTTCATTTCTTATGTATTCTTATGGATATTTTAATAAACCGTACAGAATAACAGCTAACGTTCTTTTGATGTGTTTCAGTTCATTGACTAGTGAATTTTCTAGCTCCATCATTTAAACATTTGGCTAAACCTGGTTTAACTAATATTGGATGGGATGATCTGAAGTTTGGATAACCGTCGGAATGTATCTGTTTTCTGTAGATGGTAGTATCCAAACCACCGTGTGTCCTTCGTTTTATCCTGCAGTCCAACATATGTAATTCCCCTTGTGCATTTTCTAACTCGTAAGCGAACTGGATTGTGCTTACTACTGAGTTTACATGAATGCGGAAATTGTCAATATGTCCCGATATCAATACAGTGAACGTGCCATCCACATATTGCCACCATATCTTAGGGGCAGCGATAAACGTTTGTAAAACCATGTCTCCCTAACTATCCATAAATGTATCTGCTACGATTGGAGATATTGGTGATCTCGCAGTTAGTCCTTCTGTTTGTCCATATATTTTGTCCTGAAACTCGAAGACTATGGAGCCCAGGGACAACTGTACGCCTGATATGGTCTCATCAACCGATATCTTGGCTCTATAAGTTTTTAGTCAGTATTTAGTTGATTTCTGACTGCCTCCAGTACCATATTGGTTGATATAAAGACTTGCTATTTGGAAACTAACCATGTTTTCATCCTCTTCTATATGTAGGTCATAAAGTCTTTGTTTTGACTCGTAAGAATTGACTAGTCAA